TGCGCAGAACAAAATGGACGCTAAACAGCCATAGATCATCAGAGAGAGCCTACCCAGAGGAAACAGTAGCTGCAATAAAAATAAACATATGGATTGCTTATCTCTTCTAAATATTTATATATGTGATCTACTAGTGATTTTGAACAAGAAAGTTGGCAAGTAGACGTACGAACCTGAATAAAGGCAAACAACATGAGAACCATAAGGGCTCCAAATAAGAATGGTCCAAGGAAATTGAAATCGTGGCCTCTCCTTGCTGCCCAAAATGTGTATACTGTCAAACTAAGCACAACTGCTGTGGTTAATATGACGGACTCCAATATTACTTTCCCTGACAATTATCAAAGTAGACATCTCTCAATTCTCAAAATTAATAAGCATGCATGCAGTAGCAGATAATATATATATGTCTGATAAAAAAATTAAATTACCACTGGTGAAGGCACAAGTCAATCCCACAGCAAAGGCCAGAGTAACTGTAAACAACCCAAGAAGCAAGAAATTGACCGGATGTTTCTGGTGATAGTAATACAAGGGCCACAATGCTGCACACATCCCATATATATATCAGTTTACGACTAATTAAGATTAATATATATATATATTCAGATAAGAAAAGACTTACTGATGAAGGGAGAGATGATAAGAAGAATATAGAGAGCTAATCCTGCCCCAGTTGACACAAAAAAATGTGCAATTGGGTGAACCGTAACGACCACAGCGGCAACACCAATAGTGATAAGCAATTGAAAAGACAAAATTGAATAAACTTTCCGAATAAAACCCCAACGGAGTTGTGGATTCTCCAACATCGCCGGATACAACGGCCTTTCTCCGGCTTCCACGTCATCTTTCCGGTAAGGCGTATTCCACGTCTGCTGCCACATCTCACTAATAATAATAATTTCACTAAGATTAATTTTTGAGATGTTATTTGATTTCTATGGCATTTATTTATTTATATAAAAACTGAGTCGGTTATATATACATGTTAAAAAAATTAGAAACTTCGTGAGTAATCGAGGAAATGAGATGACACGTGGAAGGCAAAGGAATATTTAATTATGGAATTAGCTATAGTAATATTCTTCTGGACTTGTCTGGATGAATTGTTAAAGTTTGTACTCATCCCTTTAATTTTGTTTCAAGGGAAAGACAGCTGAGTTTTGCTGTTTTTGCCTTTCCTTTCTTCTAAGGTTTAACAACAATATAATTAATAATGGAATTATTCTCTACGTTAATTACGATTTATCATAATTTAGATACTCAACTAAATAGACTAGTAAAATTCCTCTATCAACTACTTAATCGATTCAACTAATATAATTTGATGGTATAACAGCATTGCTTGGCTTATCTATTAAGCTAATGGTATTCACTTACTTTACTCATTTACCAAGTATCATAGAAGCAATCCGATCCTATGATATACAAGTTATTCAATAATAATACATTTAACATAATTTTATAGATAAAGATCAAGAAAATTATGATAAAATATAAGAATTTTTGATAAATTCTCATCTTAAAGTTAAAAGTCATTCATACTCAAATTAAACTCATAACAAATTCACCAATGAGAGTGCGTTTATGGGACGTTTGTTTCGGGGGGAAATAATGGAAACGTACGGTCTAGATTTACATTTTATTTGACAGTGACCAAATCTTTGATAGTATGTTTGGGATGATTTCAATTAATCAATTCTCCTCAATAATCATCCTCGTAATTTACTTTAAAGCTGACTTAATATTATTTGAGTTTTTATGCAACACCTCTGGAGCTAGCTAGTCTACAAGGCATATTCTTTTCAAAAGTTATTTATAAAGCAAGAATCCCATTAACATGCTAGTAACTTCTACTCATAACTCGACTCTAGTTTTTTTTTGGTCGTTTGCTTCATTTTAATTATATTTAATTTTTTAGTCAAGTCTAAATTATTGACATATTTTTAAAGTTTTGTGAATATTTAATGATAATATCAATATTTTAAACCTATCTTATTTTATTAGATCCACGGAGGTAAGTTTTTTATTGAAGAATTTATTTATTTTAAGATTAATTTTGAAATATTACAAAGTCATCATATATTTCTTAAACTCTATGACAAATTAAATTATATATCACAAGTGGCGTAGCCACATGGTTCGTCGGGAAAAAATATCATATATACCAGTAAAATGATTAAATAACATGTTTTGGACACCTTTAACATAACAAATTGTAATAGTCCAGTGGTTTCACCTCCTTGGAATGAAGAAGTGCTCGTGTGTTTGAATCTCACTAGTTCTAATTTTTTAAAAGAGTTTTTGTTTTGCTATTTCTAAACACCCTTTATAAATTCCTACCTCCACCACTGTATATCACATTAATTAGAACAGAAAAAGCATCACATATGTCCTAATAAATCTGGTACCTTCTCTTCACCATGATGACTATATTTCTACCTCATTTATATTTTCTATATAAATGAAGTTGAGAATTTGTAGTTTGCTTTTGCATCTGTCTTTTAATTTAAAGGACTCTTTAATCTGTGTTCAAGTGTAGTGGCCAAAATCAGCTCGGGCCTGGCCCGCAATTCTTCAGCAATAGGTCCATGCCAAAAAACCCAAATAATGACACTAGTGAAAATTATGCTGAGTGACATTTTTTACTTTTTTTTATCGTAATTTATGAATTTTTTAGAGCACAATCTAAAGATAATTAAAAATCTTATGAAAAAAATATGAGATCATAGTCCAAAATTTGCAAGTCATACAAATATTAGGCGACAATGTGATATTCTGTTTGTAAGGTTGAACATTATATAAAGGAAAACAATCATTGAATTCGAATCTAATGTTATCCTAAAAGATAGTTTTTCATGAATTATAATTGTACAACTTTTAAAAAAATAGACAAAATCTAAAAAATGACCTAACAAAGAACATTAGCGTACTGTATGAGCCTTCTAATTTTGATTTTATATAAGGTTTATGATTTGTGGGCTAGGTGGGAGCCCATTTGAAGAAAATGTAAACAAAGAGGCAACTAAGGAGCAAACGAAAAAAAAAAACCATGTTGGGAGCGCTACCTCTGAATAGAGCGCGATTCAAATTTAGATGATTCTTCACATATATTTTTAAAAGTTATAAGTCTGGCCTAAAACTATATATAAAGATAATCGCTACTTATATTGCTTGTTTGTTAAAATAAACCGAAGTTCTCAACATGTGTCCGACGTTCATGAGTTGTCAAGCTACAAACGTAAGATATATATTTTTATAATATTGTTCAATTCAATTCAAAAGTCTAACTAGTAAGATTTGAAGAAAATTATAATTTTATTATGAAAGCATATGGAAGTAAGTTGTGCATAGAGGAAAATACGGAGGGCCCTCAATATATACATGTTAGACCATAAAACAAAGTTTGTTTTTACTTACTTATATGAGTTAAAGACCAAAATGATTATTTTAAAAAAGAAGTATACTTCCATCATATTTATACATGTAGTATCAAATAGGATCACAGCTCATACATCAAGTGAAACTACTTAGCCTAACAAAAAATAGTTCGATCCAATTACAAATTTACTTTACATGATAAGTGGTCCTTAACTGATAAAAGGTAGACAAAAATGGAAATAACATTACATATATGTAAATGCAATTATTAAATAAGTAACAGATTTAACAACCTTTTTAGAAAGGTGATTTTCTGAAAGTGATTGTTAAGTTGTCATTAAATTTTTATTTAATGCACCAAATCCCAGACGTGGAGAATTATAAAACAATATTCGTGCCCATCTACTCATTTGCTCATGGTGGTCCATTAATTTGAATTTTGATTGACAAATATTCATCTTCATGACATGCAAAAATAAGCGGAGTCGGAATTATTAAATTTTAAATTCTAAAATATTATTTATACATGTAATTTTTCTATAAATATTTAAATTTGAGTTTAAATTATTGAATTTGATCAAATTCGTAACCGTAATATACTAACTCTCTCCGCAGCAAACCAAAAGCTTCAAGGCCTCCAATGTAAAGTATAAGAAAATTGATTGATCCGCACCATTCAATTTGGTCGGTGATAAATTAAGATAAATATCGGAAAATTAATGTAAATTGTGACCATAATTATATTTATAGCAATCCATATTAACTACCCAAGTTGTCATCACATATTCGAAAAAAAAAAAGGTTTGGTACAAATTGACATCAATACTACCACCAACGAAAATTGTGATAGACTATTAACTACTCTTTCATGCTTAATCAGAATTGAAGGGTATATCATGTCCTTTTTCTTTTTTAAAATTATTATTTTTACTATAGAAAGATGTGACACGTGAATTGTGACAAAGGACTACTAAAGTGCTATTTGAAATTTTTAGAAAATTGATTTTTATCAAATTTGTTTTTATATGGAGAATTGACTGACAATATTCATGAGGATTTATTGATGATACTATTTACACTTCAGAATTAATTCAGAGCTACAGAAGTGAACAGTATTAGTATTGCTTAACAGAGCAGCTGTCAACAGGGCCCTTAGCCTCTGAATGCATCACAACATCAACAACAAATTAGTATAATCACGCGAGTGAAATTTAAAAATACTAATTAAATATATATATAGATTTTATTTTTATATTCGATTAAATAGAACCTTTACGCTCAAAAAAAGCATTGTGTTGGGAAATTTTTTTTATTGACAATATAAATAGTAAAGGGAAATTTGAATTTATATGCTTTAGTTTTTTAACATAGGGCAACAATATCTCAAAATTATGACAAAAGATATTTGCATACCATGATGGTTTAAACATATATTTATCGTTTTTCTCAAAAAAAAAAAAACTGATGTTAGTAAAAAAAAAATTGCAAGCACCCTTAACTTCTAATCTAAAAATTGCGAGTTCAAGTCATCAAAGAAGCAAAAGGGGGTGAAAGCTGGTTAAAAAAAAAAAAAAAAATGGAGCGGGACTGCGGGAGGAATTAAAGTTGATGATAATGACTGTTGGGTGTGTGGCTTCATGGGACTGAAGGCTTTCTGACCCCTACTACTTTACGGGTCACAAATTGAAATTGCCCCCCGTCAAAACTTTTCGCATAACTTTTTTCTTTCCGATTATCTGAGGAGCTTTGCCTGAACTTGACAGCATGCCGCCGGAAGAAACAGTTTCCAAGTCACCTCTCGATAAACCTCTCAATCAACTCACTGACGATGACATTTCTCAGCTCACACGCGAAGACTGCCGTCGTTACCTCAAACAAAAAGGTACTCCTCTCACCTCTGCCTCTGTATTCTCTACATACAAACAATTTAGGTTGCGAAATCGAATAAAATTTTCTTAAAAATATGTTTAAGCATAGTGATATGTGGAAATTTTGTCGTTACTGTGTTCCGTACAGGAATGAGAAAGCCGTCATGGAATAAATCACAGGCGATTCAGCAAGTTATATCGTTGAAGGCTCTCCTCGAGCCGGATACTGACGCCGGAACTCGGAAGAAACTTCACATTCCTCGTGCAGATACTCATGTACGGCGAGTGCGTTTCAATTATCTAGTGCATTTCCTCTTTATATCTCCAAGCATTATTTTGAGCTCCTTTTGTTATACTGCACTGATAATTAGTAGTAGTATTACTATATGATGGTTGCCTGTGAAGTAACAGTGCATGTTTATATGATAAAATTAAATAATTCTAAAAACTAATGTAGGTCCAGAGCGGGAAAAATACCTATGGCGAACCTTCTGAACCAGTGCCTGATAGAAGAAATCAGCAGGACAGACCTGATCTTTCCAGTCATATTACTGCCCTTCCGGTCGCTGTTGTGGATAATTCAGCTCCTTCTAGGTGAGTTATAGTCATCTTGAATGCTTTTTGCAATGAATAAACCTTCTAAATGTGTATATAACTCGAAAGTTAATAAGGGAATGAAGTTTGGAATGGACCTGGAAAATTCTAATAGTCAACCTTAACAAGTTTAGGATTGATATATTTGATTGCTTGATTGACAATAAGCTCAGCACTGTGTTCAATGGATGACTGATGACTACTTACTTTTTGCTATTAAAGAAAAGGCACCTGACTTTCGAAATTGTTCCTCTTGAATACTCGACTTTCATGTTTCTATTAAATAGCGGCTAGCTTGTGCCTATCAAAGTCAGAGTTCCTCTCCAACTTGTAGTTTTGTTAATACGATCCTCTGGTGATCTCTTGTTATAGTAATAGTTTCATTCTGTATATTATTTTTTGTGATTGCAAATTTATCATTTTAGAACTTAGGTAAGATCCTTTCTCTATTATTGACAAATCTTCCGATCCAAATATATTCATCTTAACCTTTTATTTATCCACATGCCTTTGTAACTCATAGTTCATTAGAAGATACTCTATTGAAAAAATGGCATCACAATTATAGGGGCGCAGGCCTCCATTTGACTAGCATTTCCCCCAAAGGAAACTGCATCCTATCTAGCTTCAAAAACTGATAGCTTTTCCATTGGTGATTCCAGAACAATAGGTTCAGCAGATAAACCAGTAGGACAAATGACAATCTTCTATAGAGGCAAGGTGAATGTCTATGATGATGTGCCTGCCGACAAGGTATTTAAGCTTGCTGAAAATTGGGAACTTCACCAGATCAGTATACTTCCACTTTTTTCCTGATATGGCCAACTTGCATCTTTTCAGGCACAAAAAATCATGTGTCTTGCTTCAAGCCCTCTTTGTGTGCCTTCAGAAACTCCATCGAATGCCACTGTAGCAGCTCGACATTCAGCATGCTGCTTACAAGCTGCAAATAGTAAACTACGCCTAGATACTAATATTGTACCGACTATTCAAACAGGTCATTAGTTGCATTACTTCTATCTTCTTGTACTTTACTTGATTACAATGGCAAGTTGAGAATGTGAATTAAGCAGTCTTTGTTTCTCTGGATTTTTTTTGAACCAAGCTATTAGGTTACTGCAAAAATAAATCAACCATAAGAAGTTAATGTGAAAAGATACAACTACTTTATGATCCGTAATGTCTAAATTATGAGTCTGTGAGGTGGCGAGTCTTTGTCCTGGGAGCGTCCAGGAAGATGTTTATTGTATCCCCTATTCCTTAACATTTTAGTTTGAATCCCTTACAGTGAAAATGAGTGAGGTTTCTCGAGTTCCTATAGAAGAAAGCAACCGCTTATACAATGATAATCCTGGTATGTTCTTAGTTATGTCTTTGTTCTTCTCTTTTCCCCACAAATTACTCCTTGGACATTACTAAATTTGCGTCTATTTTATGTCCACAGAAGCAGTGGAGAGCCCCGCAAGCAGGAAAGCATCAGTACAAAGATATCTTGAGAAGCGAAAAGAAAGGTATTACAATAACTGAGCTGTTCGATGCGAAAAAGTGAACAATATAAGAAGATCTCCGCACTGCTTTCTGTCTCTTTCTATCTCTCACATCTCTGTTAGGTGAAGGTTCAAGTGGAAGAGAAAGGTAGAAACAACTTCATCAGCTAGCTTGGATATCTATTTAAGTGATCGAATTGGGACTCGTACGCCAAGTGACTATGCAAGTGGGGCTGATCTTTGCTTCACACCCCACATTACACCTACAGGAAGTGGTCCTATACAAGACAATATTCAGATGAATCCCACTTTTTCTAGTGATCTCAATGACAGAGGTGATGTTGTTTACAACCTCCCTATTTTAGTTGTCATAATACTTTCAAACGTTCTACATAACTTTTTTTTCCTTTTGCTTCTTTAATGAGTCTGTGCATGATGTAGGGAACTGTTATTGACTAAAAACTTTTCAACATCTAGGAAATAAGAGAATATTGCTTCTCAAAAATTAAATACTCATTGTTTTCAATAAGTAACCAGATTAATCACAAACTTTGTGTTTTAACCTTTGAGTCTGTTCTTTCTAAGCTCCTAAATGATTCTTGCTGCAATTGTATTTTAAGATAGCATCAGATTCCTGCATCACTGGAACCAATTATCCTCCCCCGGGACACATTCATAAGGTGCCATGGTTCATAAATTGAGTGATTTATTATAAGTGATTACATGGTGAATACAGGAGTGAATCCATTGCGTTTATTTCCCCTTGTTTGTTTATCCTATAACATATCTCATTTGTTTTTCGCTAGTTGCCATTGCATCACCAAGTATTGTACATTAAGTATACTAGTCATTTTTGCTTGATGTCTCCTCTATATAAATCTATTGAGCCTCTGATTGAAGTTTCTCATTCTTTTTTCTCTTTCTTATAACTAAACCAATGTCAATCTCCCCCAGGCTAAGGCAATGTGTACTAGTTCTGAAAACTGGTCTCTGGAGATGTATGAAACATTCAATGGGTCAAGTGTTTGATATGTGTTATTGTTTTTTGTCAGATGTTAGAGAGTGAATGTCGGAAACTGAATGGTTGGGGATGCACACCAGATTTCTGTTTTTGTCTTGAAATGTTCAGAGGCCACATCATGTTCTAGTGTATGGATAGTTGAATGAAGTGTGATGATGGTAGCACTTGGGACAATATCTGTGAAACTGCCTTCTCTATCTAGGTTTGTCTGTAATGTAAATGAAGAGAGAATTTAGTGAGAAAGAGTTGTCAGGTCATGAAACGTTTTTTGCTTTTCTTATAACAGCTAGTCGTCCTCTTCAATATTGATTTTAGGCTGTAGCATTTCCTTGTTGATGGATCCATTCTCAATGATCTTTGACAAACCAGCGGAACTGCATGACATAGAATGTGAACGGGTCATGCTCTCTAATGATCCTTGACGTTTAAAATAAGGCTTTCCTGCTCCGTTATTTGATCGAATTAACGTGATTGTAGGCTTAATTTCTTCTCTGCACATGCGAAGTAAGTATTGGGAAAGAATTGTCTTCGCGTCTACTTATGTTTCTTTCCCTTTGTATAATACCTACCTTTCTCGTGTAAAGTTTAAAGTTCAAGATCATCATAGCACATGTATGATTATCTAATTTCACTTTTTTCTTTGAATTTCTTTTTCCCGTTCCTGGTGGTATGAATCATCAATGGGTACTATACGAAGGTTTATACACTGCTTTCCTCTTAAAAAAATTCGACTATGGTGTTTTATAACTCGATTCTTCACAGAACCATTGAGTAATCTTATACTAAATTTAATCTACGAAACTTATACTACTAATCCATATGATATGTCCTAGCAAGTTAAAAACATGTTAGGGTGGTGACGGCAGCAGTATACCTAGTATAATCTCACAAGTGGAGAATGGAAAGAGTGATGTAAATGTAATCATACCCATATCTTGTGAACTGAATTTACTATAAAGCTAAAAATATGTTATAAATACTACAACAACTATACCGTGTAAGTGAAATTTGAGAATGGTGGATAGTGCGCACGCACAATTCCTACCTTGAGCAGTATTTTAGTACTCTCTCCATGACTCCATCAATCTTTACTTGTCAATATACTAAAATATTTATCCAACAATATTTGTCCTGTTTGAAAAATCAAAAGATAATTTACTTTGTGTCTATTTTACTCTTGATACTAAATACAATTCAATATCTAATATATTTCTCCAAGCATTAAATTTAGGGAATTTTACACAAACTTCATAGTGTTAAGAGCTAATTATATCTTATCTCTACTCTATACAAAAATCTTTTAAATTTGATGGAATTCGGATACATCCCAAAATATTTCCGATACATCGTGTCCTGATTTTGAATACATCGTTCAACGTCCCGATACATAACATCTCAATATCGAATACATCACCCAACGTCACGATACACTGCATACGTCCCGATACATCATGTAAAGTGATGTATCCGAGAATAGAAGAGAGTAGAGATTTTTGTAATTTTTTCGAATGGTAGGGAATTTTAGAGAATATGGTAAAATAAGTTGTGTATTTAGATAAATTTTGCTTAAATGGGATAAAATATATTCAAAGGGTAATATTGTAACACTATCCCTATTATTTATTGTTTCTTAAGGTGTGTGCCAAGTAAATACTGAAGTATAATTTAACCATAGCTAATTAATGTAAATATTTATATAAAAATCAGTCGGAGTATTTTTATTTTGAAAAAAATAAGTTGTGTATTTAGATAAATTTTGCTTAAATGGAATAAAATATATTCAAAGGGTAGTATTGTAACACTATCCCTATTATTTATTGTTTCTTAAGGTGTGTGCCAAGTAAATACTGAAGTATAATTTAACCATAGCTAATTAATGTAAATATTTATATAAAAATCAGTCGGAGTATTTTTATTTTGAAAACTTACCTAAATACCCAAATTATTTTACTGTAGTCTCTAAAATTCCCTACCATTGAAAATATTACAAAAATTCTCACTATCTCCTATTCTTGGATACATCACTTTACGTGATGTATTAGTCGGATACATTATTTTACGTGATGTATCGGGACCTACGTGATGTATCGGGATTTTGAGTGATGTATCCGAAACTGAGATGCAATGTAGCGAGAAGTTGAGAGATGTATCGGAATCCGAAACGCGATGTATCAGAGCATTTTGGGATGTATTTTATGGAACTTTTGTAATTTGGAAAAGACTTGAAATAGATTGTAATTAACTTTTAACACTATGAGATTTGTGTAGAATTTCAAAAGATCCATAAAAGGGTATATTGGGCCAAGTAGTTTACTACCCGGCCCTCTCCAGCTGAGTTTTTGCAACTCAGTCAGGAAATTGAATTTTCTCAATCCCATAATCGCACAAACGATGCAAGATTGGTACCTTCATTTATGGTAATCTATGCACGGATTTAATAATTTCGTTATATTTCATCAAATTTAATGCTAATTAAACTGCTTGTTACCAAATTGAGTTAAATCTTGTTTGTTCATCTGTGTATTTTCACCAAGGTTTTCTGTCTCTCTTTGTTATGAGTATGTGAGTAATTAATCGACAATAATTCTGGAGAAAACGAAAATAATACTTGGTATTTTTGGTGTGAAGGAAAATATTAACCATGAAATTCTTTTTTCCTTCAGAAACTATTTCCAAGGAAGAACTGTTATGTTTTGTTCTGTGTTTCCCTTTTTCTTTTCGTTTTGCTTTGCATATAGCAAGTTGAATTTAGATTATATATACTGACTATGTATAAGTTGTTGAATCTCGTTAGCCGCAAGATTATTATTTTTTTGAATTCCTGGCTCCACCATTGGTAATGGACTCAAAAATGAACAGTTGGATCAAAATATTGTGTCATTAAGGCTTGGTTTTTATGGCAGAGTTTTCAATGGAAGGAGAAAAGGTAGCACTTCTCTTAGTAACATTTCTTTGCTCGAGTTGTGCATATGAGGTCTCAGTATCTTGTATGATGGCCTATGATGAGGGTGGTGCTTCAGCAGTTTTCAACTCGCCTGAATGTCAGCTGTGGGATTTTTTTACTGCTATTAAAAATGGAACAGATAATTGCCTTATAGCTACGCATCAAGGGCGTAGGAAATACCAAGAAGATCGTATGACATGCTATCCTCGTGTTACTGTTCCTGTTTTAGGTAGTTTCAAACTCTAACCTCTTGCCTTATTCACATATCTAATTGTTATGAAAGAGATGCTGCTATTGTCTTTCGTATTTCTTATACTTAACTTGGACTTTTTAGCAATGTATCTTTCTCAAACTCTGTTAAGAGTAGAAAAGTCTTCAGACGAAGTCCAAATGTTGTAGACAATATGATGGTCAGTCGTGTAGTTGTAAACGATACTGAAGACATCAAAACAAATTATATAGTTTAGTGAAGTTCCCCCGAGGTAGGAGTAAGGTCTGCGTAAACACTACCCTCTCCAGACACCACTTGTAGGATTACACTGGGTTTGTTGTTGTTGTGAAGTTCTTGGTTTGTGATGCTCATCTTTTTCTGCATGATCACTAGGTGAAGATGGTGTGGAGGAAGCTAGTGTGGGTATAGCGGCAGTGTTTGATGGACATGGAGGCAAGGAAGCAAGTGAGATGGCTTCTCAGAAATTCTTTGATTACTTTCTATTGCACGTTGTTTTCAACACATACAAGAATCTCTTTTCACACTGTTAAGAGCATGAAGAAGCAGGTCAAGATAGCTTAAAATTCAAAGGTCTGTAACTTGTCCTATGGAAATTTAGAATATTTTTCGATTGGTTAGTATCTCTAGTTATTTTCTTCATCAGTATCTTGTCAAACCCCCGATCTGACCGTTGTCATATAAATGATATGAAACACCTCTAACTTGTTTTAACTTCCTAAATGGAGATCCTCATTCCATTGCAACTTTGGGAATCCTTTAAGCACCTCCGATGGTTTTCCACTTTTCCTTATGAGTCTACCACTTAGATATATAGGAATTATTTTTAACCTTATACAGTCACATCATACATGTGTTTTATGGTTGTATTTTGCATCTTCTTCATTTCTCAGCCTCAAATCATTCATTGCATTTACGTACTAGTTAATAACCATACATTAATGAAAAGAATTTATACACTTTGTATGCATTTCAAACTATTAGAGAAAGCCATTTATACCTATTAATCTACTCTTGACAGCGCAAGTATTGATATCTTGACGTTTACACAGTTCTAATGGGGCATTATATGTAGTTGATGATGAGTCGACACTTGGAATTCTAGAGAAAGCCCTCTTGAGAACAATCCAAGACATAGATTCAGAGTTTACACAGGCACATACAGTTCTCCTTGTGTTTGTTGCTTTCCTAACCTTCCCTTCCGATTTTCAAATCAATTTCTATATGCAGGAAGCTTTGAAGAATGACTACATTTCTGGATCAACTGCAATAGTTGTTCTTTGGATGAATGGGCAGATATTAGTTGGTAACCTGGGTGATTCAAAAGCACTCATATGCTCAAGGAAAACTCATTTTGATCAGGAAAATGAAGGTTTAAAGGCTTCTGACTATTGTTCGTTAAAACTCTGTTGATTATCACATTGTTGCTCACAGCTATAATGCCTGTTATTTGTCACCACGTGTCCATTTTTCTTACGGTTCTTTTACTCTCTCTGTTCTGCTTGAATATCTCAGGTGATTTGATCACAAGACTTCAAGCTGAGGAACTAACGAAGGATCACCATCCTGATAGGGATGATGAAAAGGCTAGAATTAAAGCAGCTGGTGGGGTTGTCCTCGTTGTTGGCGTGCCTCGTGTCAATGGTATATTGGCTGTCTCACGGTCTATTGGTGATATTCGTTTGAAAAGGTGCATCTTCAACTCTTTGACATGCTCAACAGTCTTTGAATTCTATAAACACAAGGTAGCAAGCAGAGGGCATTTGTTCTTAATCTATTTTCTTTTGGTATTTCTAGATATGGAGTTATTGCTGAACCAGAGGTCACGGGTTGGAGACGTTTGTCAACTGAAGACTGGTATGTGGTGATAGGATCCGATGGCATATTTGAAAGAATGAGTCCCCAGGATGTCTGTGATATTTTACACGAAGGACATGATAAGGAGAACAAGACATCTATCGACTCGTCCTCCTGTCCATACTCTTTAGCAGACTGCATTGTCCACAATGCATTTAGTAAAGGTAGTGGTGATAACTTGTCTGTTATTTTGATTCCATTGAGACAAGAATCCCCTTCACTGGAACACAAACAACAGATATAAAATGTTCTTCATTTTTAAGCCTTCAAGTATCAAAAAGTTCCATTGCCGGGAATCGAACCCGGGTCTCCTGGGTGAAAGCCAGATATCCTAACCGCTGGACGACAATGGAGCTGATTGTTGAACTTGTGCTTAAGGACTGATAACTATCAAATGAGAACAGAGTAACTTCATAGTGATTGGACATATATTCCCAAATGAAAAATTAATCTACTGTATTTTTACATGATTAAAATTATTTACTTGTGTATATACTATGACTTTTTCATATTTTGAACCCCTCGGTAAAAAATCCTGACTCTAATCCTGTCTACAACGACTTTTTTGTATTTTGAACCCTTCGGTGAAAATTCCTGACTCACACCGTCTATAATTAGTTCATGCTCTCACATCCACTCCTTCCTCTTTTGAGATTCAACGGTTCAAAAGTAGCATATATACCTCGACACATTATATTATATATATATACTATATTCTTCAATTATAAACTATGAAACTAAAAGTTAGTAAGACTGAGAAACAGCAAAATCACTGTCTAAAAGACTAAGTAATCTTTGACTCCAATTATATTTATTCACTTTTCCATGTGTAGTCGTCATGACTTCTTTCTGTTTTTTTTTTTCTCTTCAATCTTGAACCACCTTTTTATAACTTATTTATTCCTCTTGACTTTGCAGAAAAAAAGTTCAAACATTTGGTCACGAATCTATATCTTATGTAAAATTGTTGATTCGAATTACTATATTCATTCAAAAGTTAAAATTAAGAGTATTAAAATTAGATAATCTCGCAATTCAAACATAAAAATAAAGAACACAATCATTATTTCAATTCAACTAGCTTGAGAAATAATTGCCTATCCCAAGAGTAGAAAGAACAATGAAATAGTGATTTGAGTACGCATGCAAATGAAATTGCTTGGACTCCAATTTTCTGCAAAAGCTCATTTGAGTACGTACTACTCAACAATTAACTAATCACTATACTTTTCGGACACTCCAACTCCTTGGAGAAAAAAATGTAGAGGTCCAAGATTAGTAGCTAATGGAGTATTGTCGCGCCTTATATAGGGGAACCACGGGGCAAGCAAATTCCTCCTCTCATACTTTGCTTTTGAGCTGACGGTCTATCAAAAATGATTTTTGTACTTCACAAAGGTCTGCCTACGTTCTATTCTCCCCAGACTTAACTTGTGAAATTATAATAATGAATATATTGTTGTTGATACAATTATAGAAAGTAGCATCTTACGTTGACAAAGACAAGACACTTGCATAGTTGCATTTCACATCATAAGGCGCTGTTCCAAGGCCTGTGTATAGAGGAAAGATATTTAATTTCTTTTTTTCGATAGGTCAACAGTAAATATACACTATGGGTGCATAAATTAACTTAGACTCCATTTTTTCTTTCACTAGATTGATGCTTAGTTGTTAGACTATTATTGTAGTGTATACCCGTTATGTACACAAAATTCATCATAGAATAATTAGTCTATCTTTTTTCTTCTTTATAATTTGTATCATGATTCAATCAAAAAAATTCGAGCTCTTCTAATTTGTAACTTCACCGAAATTGAAATAGTTCCTATACTACTACATAAGTATGAAATCGAATTGCATTGAAATATTTCTTATTTCTTCTAGATGAAGAGCACACATATAAATTATTATTTTTTAGTAGTATGGGAAACTTCAATCAAAATTGGGTGATTCTTCATTAATCTATTGGTTACCATCTTCTCAAAATCAAACAAAGGAATCAAAACTAATTAACATCAAAATCACTAATTAATAACTTTTCACGTTATTCCCCTTAATTTCTTCTCTTTCTTTTTTCCTTTACAGATCAGACTCCAATAATTTACATATGTTTGTGTATTGAAGCAGTTGTATAAGAGAAACCATGGATGTATCTTAATAAATATCTATTTATATAAGTAACTGACAAAGAATAAATATGTGCAAAAATGGAAACACTGATTTCTCACCTTCCATCTCCTTATAAGGAAATGAAAAAGGGACTTTCTAAGAGTCACTTGTCGTATCAAACATAAATATTATTGTCACAACCCAATATATGGCATTGTATATATAAGATTAAAATTATTATTTATTTATATAGTATATGTTGAATCCTTTTAGTTTATTCATATGTTTACTTCTTTTATGAAAAATTATGATTCCATCACTAATTGCAGCGTGGACCACTTCCAATATCCTAAAGTACTTAGACTTGTATAAATACATCTCCTTGGTTCTTCCCATCCACGTCAATTCTGAACCCTGGCCTATTTATACAACTCGGGCAGGGCAATTAAACTTATAGATAAATTCTCTTGTCAGAATTTCTAGCTCTACCACTACTTACACCGTGCAGCACTAGCAGTTGAAGCTGCCAGCATGATCTAAACTTCCCTTTTTAGTTCAAATATGATATGAGGAAAGATCAGATCATGTGGCAGCCTCACCTGTTGATGCCATCACGAATTATTCATCATATATTCTTTGTTTTCAAGAAACCTTCCTTCCATTTTGTTTGATCTTGTCCTTTTCATTATCTAATCCAAAATATCAAAGAAGAATTCAGACATGTTTATCAATTGGTCCACACATCATCAGAACTTGATATTGATGAAGCTACTTGAAACTTGTAAGTAGGATTTTTATACCAAAGTTATGATTATAGAAAAGAAACGTAAGTTCTCGATTATGCTGATTCTTTCTTTGCACAACTACAAAGATTAGAAACTAAAGCTCTCAAAAACCAATACAGATAAAGATCACCCCACATCACATTCTTAATTCCTTGGTAACAATACAGATGCTCTTCCAGTACTTCTTCCCTAAGTAGAGTAAAAATTCTAAATGCCTAGACACATTCTCAAATATAAAGTTTGTAAACAGATGTATCAGCTTAATACACACAAACTTTGGCAGCCACTGCATTGAAAACTGATAGTGTCATGATAAACAGTGTCATACAGGCATCAACAAGCCACATACCAACTAAGACCAACAAAATGAAAACATCAAACTAATATGTTCATAAGTTCATTACATCAGATAAGTTATTCTAATCAAACACAACCAACAGTGCTGTCATTAGTCAACCCAGATAAAGAGGAAAAAAACATAAGCACAGGCGATGTTATTAGTCAAGATACATCTAAGATAACACAGGAGAATTTCACTCTTTGGTGGTTTTGTTTATGAGGGACTTGTGAATGTGAGGGATGACACCACCACCAGCAATGGTACCTTTGATAAGGGTGTCAAGTTCCTCATCTCCACGAATGGCCAGTTGCAAGTGCCTGGGAGTGATTCTCTTCACTTTAAGATCCTTGCTTGCATTACCAGCTAATTCAAGAACCTCTGCAGTCAGGTACTCCAGAATTGCAGCAGAGTAAACAGCTGCTGTTGCTCCAACCCTGCCATGGGCAGAGGTTCTGGTCTTGAGCTGACGGTGAATTCTTCCCACTGGAAACTAAAATCCCCCAAATATGTCAAAACAATTATATCAAAATAGTAGGAGGGTTCTGGAGTAAAGAAAAAACCATAAATCATTCTAGAGACAGTTTAAATGTTATGCACTTTTTACAGCTAATAGATCAAAAAATGATGCCACCCCTAAAAATATGTGATGAATCCAAAAAATTCAAGGTCCCAAAAGAGTAAGATGCATCCTAGTTTGTTTTTTATGTGTGCATTTTCAAAGTGTCTGCAAAGCCAGTGCCAATCGCATCCTATGCCATAGTATATGGCTTGGAATGAGACACCTTTTTATGGTAATTCACTTTGTTGCAATTATACATTGTTGAGGCCATGTTTATGATCATAAGATGCTGATCTTCGGATATTCCCTGACTGAATTTAAGACCTACTATTATGTTAATTACATCCATAAGCTTTTTGATTAAAACATTGAAGAAGATTATATTTGCAAAGATCAAACAAGGCTGTTAAAGGAACAAATATTTTGTTCTCAATAAGCTTATGGAGGTTATGCCTTTTTCATTAAAGCTCATGTTTATTTGCACCTCAGACTTAAAGCGCCAATGAACCTTAGAGTTTTTTTGTGTTTTTTGTTCCTTTTAATAGCATTGGTGTTGTGGTGTGTGTAATTTGTTGATAACATGGTATTGTTTGATAAAACGTGTAATGGAGTTAACAATAGACTAGAACTTTTGGAGACAGACCTTAGAGTCTAAAAGTTTAGGTTAAGTAAGACTTGGAGTGCAAATTCAATAACAGACCTTAGATTACTTGGAGTGCAAATTCAATGACAACACACGAGACAGATGTGGAAGTGAAGATTGATGCACAAATCATTCCAATAAGAACAAGCTTCAAATATCTTAGGTCCATAAAACAAGAAGACGAAGAGATTAATGATGATGTCACACCATGACTTAAGAGTAAATTCTATAGACTGGAGGTTAGATCAACATTGTTTTATAGGACAAAGAGTTGGTCAATTTTTTAATGTAGAAAAGAAGACGATGATGAAATTATACAAAACAAGGCAATAATGGGTATAGCAAAAGTTGGGAGAGGCTGAAGAACTAAGTATAAGTGATTAGACAGGATAGAAAGGTGCATAAATCAAGAACAAGAGTAAACGGTTAGTAGTCCCACTATATGTGGGAGAGACAGGGGGCTAGCCTCATCTCCTCTCTTTCTATTGGTAGTAGTAGTAGTTAGTAACGGCATAGTTTCTTAATCTCCAATTTGTGCTACTATCTCAAGTTTTATTTGCCAATTGTCTATTACATAAAGCCTCCCTACCCAGTAGCCACAAAGGTAAAAATAAGATATGCTTACATCCTATCTTAACCTCACTATGGGACTACATTGACTATGCTATGGTGTCATCATATTTTGGGTAGATCAAATAGTCAAACACTTTCAACTGTCATTTCAGATTCAATAAAAATCAAACAAGATCCGCAGACCAAAACTATGTATTACCTGCAGACCCGCACGAGATGAACGAGAGATTGGCTTTTTCTTGTCTTTCTCCTTGTTGGCAGCCGCTGCAGCTGTTGTCTTCCCCGCCACAAGCCCTTTCCCTCCTTTTCCTGCCATTTTCCTTATTTCAAAACTACACCAACACAGTAAAAGCCAGGTATCAGTTCCTCAATTTAGTCTTCAATCTCACAAGGGAAAAAAGAAACTCACCTATATTCAACTTCTAAACATCATGGTTACAAAAATCTCAAACTATAGACCGTGTAAACTGTTGAAAACACGTTAATTTTCAAAATCGAAAGAAAACTTGTTATGACTGACTACACGGAAAGACTTAAATTCATAGATCGGTCTTTAGCGTCACCTGATTTTCTGCTAAATTTCCCAGAAATGCAATAAAACTGATAAGATGAGAGATTCGGGAAGACGAAAGTACCTTTGTTTGTAGATCTGTAAAACTGTTTGATTTATTGCCCAACTCTTTTTGGTGGGAATTCTGAAATTTTTTACTTTCTTTTCAATTTCGAATTTTCGTTAAGTTACCAGTTTACCCTCAATGATTGGGCCACCTTAACCTGACAAATGGTTAGTAAACCTATGGCCCAAATCCAACCACGTACATGTCATTTTCATTTAGAAATTGTTTTTAAAAAAAATTATGCAAATGTAAACTCGAGATAAATTATACTTTTGAATTATTATTCATTTTGGTCTAATGTTGTTTTGCTCCAACTGTTTTCAATCTTACTACTCTATTAGATTGTCAACTAACGCTCGTCATAATTTATATTATAAGAATGTGGTTTAATATTTTCTCATTAGATTTTTTGTTTGTTTCGAAGAAAAATTATGATTTAAAGTGTCCTTAAATTATAAGAAAAAAACATTTATTAAATAGATATCCCAAAATGGGATATTGAACAAAAACCAAACAGACACTGTAAATAATCTAATATGCTCTCCTTTGATCATTTTTACTTGTCCACTTTAAACTAAATAATAATTTTAATACAATATACATATAATTAATGTAGTTTTAGGTCTTGAAAATAAATACTCCATACTAATTAATATTGAGGGTAAAACATGAAAAAAGAAAATATGTTTTTAATATGGACAAGTAGATGAACAAAAAGAGTATATTTTAACAAAAATGACAAATATCACTTCTAAAAAATTACTATTTTTTCATTAAAATTTTCCACCTAAAAATGTTCAGTTGTTATTCCTGCATATATTTTGATTAAAATAATGAGAAAGAAAGAAAAACAATACTCTATATTTTACACAAAAAAATTAGAAAGTTTTATAGTATTTCAATGAGATATGTTGTCCATAGTGAGTATGTTTCGTAGTGAACTAGTTCAATCAGAATGAAAATAAGAAAATTATATTTTATAACACAAATTTCCTATTAATTTGTAGTGAAAAAGACAACAAGATTGTAATGAGAACTTAGTACATTATATAATTTATTTTTGCTTACAAATTATGTAAAGTCAAAACACTTAGGGCCCGTTTGGCCATAGATTTTTCAAATAAAATTTGGGGGAAATTTTGACAAATAGTGTTTGTCCATACAATTTGTCATTATTTGGCATATATTCTTGGCAAATAACCCAAATACTAGAAAAAGCTAGTATTTGGGCCAAATTTCATTGTTTGCGAGCTTTAAAAAATTCAAATTCTACACCAAACTTTAATCTTTTACAAAAACACCCTCTGTAATAGTTTTTTGCGCTAAATTACATAATTTTTTATGTGAACATCAAAGCAATGATGAAATATTCAGTGAATATAAAAGTGATGATATAATTGTTGATGAAAATGACGAATAATCGGCTCGGGATAATAAATGCATATGCTTCGTCTACTTCACGATGTATGGAATGATGCTTATTGCACTCATTCCGAGCTACCACATTACTCCAGTGCATGGACACTACTTGTTATTTGCAACGAAGATCCAATTGACTTGTTGCGGAAGTCATTAATCTTGTTATGTTGACGTTTCTATTTTGCTATGTAATACAAACATGTGGTTAGTTTTGATAATTTTTAAAACTTATGGATATAAATCATATTTATTAAAAAAAGTGAAATATATTCCCAAATATTATGGTCAAACGCTAGCTTAGGTAGGAGATAAATATTATGGCCGGTTATATAAGATCAGAGTTAAGTGCATTAAAAATATCAAAGTGAAGATAGAAAATTGGAGGCCAGCATGTGTTTTTAGCATCGTACACCTTCATGTCTTAATTATTGGACTAGTATTAATGTAGTTGTTGTGTGCACATCATAGTAGTTGGTTCCTCTTGATATGAAATAAAATCAAAACAATTTAGTTGTAATTATCAAGAAAAATTGTGAGTTAAATATCTTATTAATGCATGATGACTCAATATTTTTAATGGAAGGACAATGATAAAACCTTACATACAATAAAATCAAGTTACGTTGATTTATGTGGTTGGAAATAGTCATGGGCTGGTGCATTGATGTCCAAATCGAGATCAATTAGAACATCACTCTCTTCTTTCCATGGATTTTTCATGTCATTGGTATCGACGTTCCTTATTGTACGCCAAATCACACTGCTACATTTAAAACCCGACCCAAAAGCCATTTGCCAAATTTTATCACCTTTCTTTATTCTTCCCTTAGCCTCTGCATAAGCCAATATGTACCAAATTGAGCTACTAGAAGTATTCCCAAATCTTCTCAATGAAATTTTCGAAGCTTCCATAGCTAAATCACTAAATCCCAATTTTTTCTGCAACTGATTCAGTACTGGTAACCCTCCCACGTGTGGAAGAAAATGATCAATTTTTGTAAAATTTGGTACGTACTTTTTTCGTCTCATGATGAAATTTTTCAAAAAAAGAAGTTTTTCAGATAAGGGAAGGATAAATGGAGCCAGTGAAGTAAGATTGGTTTCTATGGCATGAGTTGCTGCAACTAAGAGATCTTTAGTTATGGATACTCCAATTAGACCATGGTCGTCTTCTTCTAGGAAAACTGATTTATATGAACGATCTGAACTTGCTCCATGACAATGAACATCATGTAGGAGCTCGTACTTGCATGAATTTCTATGTGATGGATGATTAGAGAGTAGAATCGCGGCTCCCCCTACGCGAAAAGTGCAATTTGGTATTATCTTGGATTGATCGTTGCCGAAGTAGCAACTGTGTGAAGTGTTCTCTGTACTTAAAATTAGAGCATATGTGCTTTCATGCACCTGTTGCACAAATGAGAATTTATGTATTATTGACTATATATGTAAAACAAATTTATATTTCATTTTTCTATAATAAACAACTAAACATAACTTTGACTCAAATCTGACCTGAAGCAATTGATTTGCAAGACGGACGGCCAATAATCCAGCAGTGCAACCCATTCCACCAAGATTATAGCTTAAAACATTCTCATTCATTTTATAATGATTCACTATCATACAAGACAGGGATGGAACTGGATCAAAAACAGAACAATTCACAATCAGTATACCAACATCTTTTGGATCAATTTTTGTCTTTTCAAACACTATATCCAATGCTCCAAACATAACATCTTGGGCTTCTTTTAGTGAAGTCTCCAAACATAAATTTGGGGAGTTTGTAACCAAAGTCTTTGGCAAATAAGTGGAGTCACCAAGTCCAACTTTGTCCATAGCCATTCTCATTTTATCCAACATTTCTTCAGAGTAATTCCCCATTGACTTGGCTATTTCTAGTGATTTTTCTTTGGTGCACATTTGTGAGGCAAGGGGCTTGTAACATGCAAAATCTATCAAGAAAACTTTTTGTGAAGGCTTCTTTATGATATTAATCCTTAGACCCCATATGAAAATTAATACCAAAAATATTAACCACATGATGGTAGGGAATTCTAGGATTGGTTGGGAAATAGACATTTTGAATGAAAATGGATGTATGCCAAATGATATATTGTACTACTACTTATATAGGAGTTTGGTTATCAACTACCCTTTCAAGCATTTATTTATTGAATAAGGTTAGTAGGTATACAAACACTATTTGATTTTTTCTTTATAAATAAATATGTAAGTAGGTATGTATTTTTAATAACAATGTGAAATTTGTAATTTATGCATGTATCTACCTAGTATTGTACCCTAGGAGTTTGAACATAGAAAGTTGGAGTCGGGAGAGTGACATTTTAGAAAAGATACAATAGTTTCCGATTCCCCCAAGCTAGCTTAGGGGCACTATATGTTTACACTGCTGGAGTACTATATAGTAGCTGAGGAAATAAATATTTTGGACTTTTTTGGTTAGACAGATGGTTCTAACATAGAAGCAAAATATTTGACCTACCTATCATTAAATTCCAAACCTTTTATTTCACTTTTTCATTTAACCACCACTTGAAAAAATAAGTTTTTTTCCTCATTGTTTAAGAAAGTAAAAATAATAATTGAATCTTCTAATAGTAAATTAAATATCTATAAAATATATTAAGATGTATTTTAATTTTGTGGCCTAAACATGCATGGCGGAAAAATTGAAATTACAAAATTGTTATAGTCTTTTTGAGATAAACTAAAAAAGAAAATCAAGCTAAACAAATGAAAGCAAAGCAGGTAATTAGGAAAAGTATATTTATATTTTTTATAAAGATATAATCACTTTTTTTTTATTGAATATTTCCCTTATCATTTCTTTTCAAAAATTGAAAAAGCACCCACCTCACTTCAAATAGGGAAAAAAGAAGATAATCATCATATTTGGAGCAAATATTGTTGGTTTTATCCCAACAAATGAGCTTTAAGTTCCACAGAATTTCAAGCCCATCTAGCTTTGGGTAAATCACATAAAAATGTAATACTAATTTTTTTTTTATCATTTATGACAATATACGATAATATTTCTAACTAAATATAGTAATTTTTTTTAATTAAAAAAATTGTACAGTGAAATTTTGTCTATCTTCACCTCTTTCTCTGTCATTTTTCATCTTCCTTCTCTTCTTCTTCTTCTTTTTATTATTCTTCTTCATTGAAATTTTCATTTAAAAACTATCTTCAAATCAATTTTTACCCACATTGCGCTATTTTAATCCAAAAATACGAAGAGAAGAGGAATAGATAGACTGAAAAATTGTATAAAATCATGTGCTCAAGCAAGAATATCAAAAATTATATTTGTATGTTATAGCTATAGTTTGCATAATTGCGTTCCATAACAATTTTTATGTTTGCTATGGAGCTTTTAATTTGTATAATTCGCTAGATACATCCAATTTTATACAAATTGTTCAGTTTGGTATAAATTCATTTATACATTGTAATGTGTATAATAAGATTTGTATTTGTATAATTATAAGTGTATAGGGCGAAAATATATGTATTTGTATTTGTATATACACTTTTCTCTCGCTTTATACAAACACAAACACATTTTATACATTTGTATACCGAATGGGTAATTGTATACCGAAAATGGCTAATTGTATACCGAACCAGATGGCAAAAAATAGGATGTTTGCTGCGAATTACAAATAAAATAAACTATGGCTATAACATTTAATTTGAATTAGTAATTTGCTATTTTATACAATTTACCCTATATTATATTGCCATTATGATAAATATTTTTTCATTATTGCATATTTATGTGATTTATCCTACATTTTTTCATGACTTTTGTTGTATTAGTCCAATCAATTAATATTTTTTTTAATTATGGAAAATAACAAAAGAGACATACTTAAAATGAAATATAGCGATGTGATAAATTAAAGGATTGGAAAAATACATTGATAACTCTTTAAATATTTATAAATAAATTTTATTTAAATATTTAAATTATAATATATTTATAAATCTTAACATACAGTAAAGTATTTTATTTTGCTCTCAAAATTTATGCTCTCAATATATAATCACAGAATATATCACGTAATAATTTCTTTACCCAATTTATATAATATCCTTTAAATTTTAAAATTCATCCAATCTGAATTTACAATTAAAATTCAACGATTTGACTTTCGAAATTGGAACAATAAATTGGTTAACCTTGGTCCAACTTAGAAGCAAAGTCATCTTAATTTCTTCTTAATAAAATGTCTTTTAGGATCGTTTCATTGAGAATAAATTATTTTAGAATTAATTATTTCCAAAAATGTTTTTTCATCATATATATGAAATAATTTATTCAATCACACTATATAAATGATTAGATAAATAATGTCAGGACTAATTAGTACCTTAAATAAAAAAGACAATAGTATAATCTTATATTTTATCGTAAAATTATTATACATTATGCCTCAAACGGACAACTTATTTGGGCGGCAAGAATCTCCAATTTTGCTGTTTTCTGAAACCCCAGAAGAATACCAAGAACAGATAGTGGATGATCCTTAACCTGCACCCTCCGACATGGCTTCTTCTTTTTCCTATCATCCCATGCACGCTTCTTTTTTTTCAAAAAGATTTATTCTTTTTTCTTTAAATGTTGGTTTTTTACCTCTACCCAACATCAAGAATGAAGCTTTATTATGGAATCAGTGTTTTCTCCTTCATTTTATGTGTTTTGGTACCTGGGTCTTTTTCCTTTGATAATTTTCATCAACCGTAAGCATTTTTACTTACATACCCTTTTGTGCATGTATTTAATTAAAGTTCATTTGTCCTGTTCCTTATGATCTTCTTGAAGTGCCTTATTGTATGTAAAATACACTTTTAAAAAACTCTGTATTATGGACTACTAATGTTTGTTGAGCATGAAATGCTTCAAAGTTTAGTAGGTTGTTTTTATTTATTTCGGCATTTTTTGTTTTGGAGGAACTGTCTATGCATGTTGTCTCATCAAACTTCACTTTGTCTGTTTTGTTTCAGCATTTTCTACATAATAATTGTTTTTGCTAATCTTTGTACTGTTGCCTCTGATGTTTCTAGATATTGCTATTGACAGGTTTCCCATTGTAGAGCCTGATTCTGGTCACACAAAACTTCGCCTTGCGAGAGAAGGACTTGAGGCAATAGAGAGGATAACAACACCCATTGCATCTGTCGCTGTAAGTCTTGCATTATCTATTTTGTTTCAGCAATAATAAGACAAAAAGATATTTGAAATTTGATTTGAGTTATTAAATTAGTTTGGCACTGGCTCAATATGTTTATGCAGATGTATTTTGTTAAACAGCTATACTTGTTATCTAAATTTCTTTTTGTATTATAACATTGATGGTAGAATTTGACCAGGTGATTGGTCCATACCGTTCAGGAAAATCGTTCCTCCTTAATCAGCTTCTTTCCCTCTCTTGTAATGAAGGTGAATCCTCAAGACTTGCATTTAAGTTCACAATTGTGCTTTTACTTGTTAGATTACTGTTTTCGTGCATTTTCGTAAGCGATTGATTTATGAAGCTCTATGCTTACAGGTTTTGGTGTTGGGCATATGCGTGATACTAAGACAAAAGGTGTGTATGCATGGTTCTGCTGGGGCTGTCGGTACTTAGGAGATGTAGACATTATTTAACATTCCATTTCCCTCTTCTTCCAGGAATATGGGTTTGGGGTACTCCTATAGAGTTGGACATCAATGGAGTTAAAACTTCTGTTTTCTACCTTGACACTGAAGGTTTTGAAACTGTTGGAAAGTCAAATGTATATGATGATCGGTAATATGGAAGTCCTGAGAGAATGTATTTCCACAATAATTTTATTTTTGTTAAAGAACATTTCCACAATAATGTGTGACTAGTCATGTTTTCTATTCTTTGTTGTTCAGGATTTTTTCCCTTGCAACTGTTCTGAGTTCCGTGCTTATATATAATCTACCTGAGATGGTTTGTTACTCTGTTTATGACTTTTACTTTCTTTATTTTGGAGTGTTTATGTTAATCCTGTTATATTTTACTTGTATTAACAACATATGTCTTTTAGTTTTTCATGTTCTATTGCAACAGAAAAAAGAATTAGCTGTTGGTTATCCATGAATGTTGAGTGATTGAATAAGGATAGATGCGAGTTGTTTTTGTTGAGAACAGTTAATAAATAGAAGTACTCATCTAGAGTCTCCTTCAAGCTCTGTTGCATTTGGCAATATATAAATTGGTTGAGTTAGATATACATTTCTTTGTTATAAAGAGTGTGTTAGCTGATGCAAAATCATATCTGCTACTATTATGCAAAATATTCTATTCATGATTCATGTATTTCACGTGTGCGGCCAGCACATATGCATGCAAAAGTTAACACAAGAATTGATTGTACTAAGCAGTTTGTGCTCGATATATTCTTGTCTAATATATAGATTGAACACTGGTAACTTATCCTAATATGGTTCAGGTTGTGACTCTATGGGCGGCAGCTTATATAGTACTCGCATATTGGCCTACAAGCAAGAGCGACTTCCTTAATTGTGTTTTGTGTGTTTGTTTTGTGTTTTAGATCCGTGAAGCTGACATATCGCGACTATCATTTGCCGTTGAACTTGCTGAAGAGTTCTATGGAAGGTTCAATTCTAACCAGTTGTTTCAAAAGTTTCACATAGGACTTTTGTGTTCTAAGTTATTCACAGAAGATTCTTTTCTGACCCTGTTGTTTCATCCATGTTTATCGCTCTCCCTGGAACCCAGAGTGAAGGTAAGCATATATCTTTGATTTATTTCAACTCAACAAAAAGGGACAAAGAAATAAAGGAAGAAACAGATCCTTAATTAACAAGAAAAGTGACATGTTTATGAGGTTGCTGTTGTGTAGGGGCAAGACGTTGCTTTCGAACCAGCAAAACTCCTATGGCTTATCCAGCGTGATTTCCTACGTAAGTAGAGAAAAAGATGCCATATATGTTCATAACTGCATTCATTAATGCGAATGTCGTGTATTTATGGAATATAACCTCTGATTGCAGAAATTACCTAAAACTTTAAACATATGTTTAGGTACTAAGCACTCTGTTATAGTATGGTCATTTTCCTCTGACTAGCACCAAGGTGCCTTTTGTTGGTCTCCTATTCCTTCTCTTGGAAACTGTCTAACCGTGTATTATTAACAGAAGGAAAATCTGTGCAAGAAATGGTCAACGAAGCTCTACGACGAGTCCCTAATAGTGATGGTTGGTTAGCTTATCTTTATTTGGACATATAGTAACTTTGGAATCTATTGAATAGTTGATTATGGTTTACACTTTTTGTTTCTGCAGGTGACAAGAATATTGATAAGGTACCTTTATGGATTGCATTATGCAAATTATAAAGATACTTGCATAAATAGATATATTTTACTTGTTGCTGTTCATTATATCAGGTGAATCAGATTCGAGATTCATTAGCAGTAATGGGCGACAATAGCACAGCCTTTAGCTTACCACAAGTATGACTTACCTTTGCTATGCATCAATCTTTTCTTCTTGATTTTGTAATGCACAACTTGCTGCAATGACAATAGTTGAGTTGGATTTGCTCAAATATTTTCTTCTTCTTCTTCATTGTTAATGCACGCTGAGGATATTGTAGCAAACTTGATTTCTTGTCAGTTAAGCGTTTTTCCTATTAGAACTTGGAATGTGCATCACCACTCTTAGCTCTTCTGCAGCCTCATCTTCAACGTACAAAGCTTTGTGACATGAAAGATGTTGAACTGGATCCTGATTATGTCAAGAAGAGGGAGCAATTGAAAGAAGTTGTTGCATCTATCGTTCGTCCAAAGATTGTCCAGGGTAAATTTCTCAATGGGAAGGAGTTTGTATCGTTCCTTGAGCAGGTGTTAAATCTCTTATCTGTTAACTCTCCTGGTTTTAGTTTAACTGCTTTTGGAGAGAACTGATGAGACTGATTAATCTTTTTCTCTTTAATGGTAAATTGGTATTAGATACTTGACGCCTTGAATCAAGGAGAGATTCCATCTACGGGCTCCCTTGTGGAGGTTTTCAACAAGGGTATTCTAGAGCGGTGTTTAAAACTGTACACCGAGCAGATGGCTAAAGTAGTTTTACCAATGCAAGGGGAGTCTTTACAGAAAGCTCATGAAGAGCAGAGAGACACAACAATGGAAGTTTTTGATGAACAACATTTTGGTCGTCGTCATGCAAGGAAATCAGTCGATCAATTGGAAGAGGAGATTGAAAAGGTTAAAAATTTCCAGTAGCAAACATGGTTTTAATTATGCATTTCTACAAATTTTACTTAATTCCATGTATTTGCAGGTGTATAAGAATATCAAGTTGGCAAATGAATATCAGTCCTCAATGCTGTGCGAGGCGTTGTATACTAGATGCGAGGACAAAATGGATGAACTTCAGGCCCTCAGACTTCCTTCAATGGCCAAATTCAACACTGGCTTCCTCCAATGCAACCAAAGTTTTGAAAGAGAATGCGTTGGACCTTCTAAAAGCAACTATGAACAGCGGATGATCAAGGTTTTCGCGCACTTAATTACTTCTTAGCTCTTCCTTGCTTTTTATCGTAAAGATATTTCTTATATAGCCTAGTGCGTGAAAAAAATAGAAACATAATCAATTAAGTAGGATGTACAACTGAATCCAGAACCGAACCATCCGTAGAGAATCTAGAGGTGCAGTAACTTCAGACAACTACAAAGAATTACCAATTCCTACAGAAGACAAAAAGTCACTTCATCAATGAAATTTTTTGTATTACTGTCTTCAGATGTTGTGTTTAATGTAACCTACTCTAAACAGTGTATTTGTCTGTATCTTTTTGATTATGCAGATGTTGGGAAAGTCAAAATCTCTATTCATTAAGGAATATAATCAGAGACTGTTCAACTGGCTGGTGGTTTTCTCACTTGTCATGGTGGTGTTAGGGCGGTTCGTTATAAAGTTCTTTCTGGTCGAGATTGGTGCATGGATACTCTTTATCTTCTTAGAAACGTATACGAGGATGTTTTGGTCCGCTGAGTCGCTTTACTACAATCCAGTCTGGCATAATTTTCTGGCAACTTGGGAAACACTTGTGTATAATCCTATTCTTGATTTGGACAGGTAACATAAAGTCATTACCTTTTTCTAGCAACTTGGCAAACATTTTCTCATTTTGTACTTTCATTCTAGCTACCCTTAAAGACATGAACTTACATGTTTGAGACCACAAAGTTTGAAGGATGTTTTTTCTTTAAACTTTGTGTCTAGTCAAACACTGCAATATAAATATCAACTAGTGTCAATTTACCAGTTGATTAGACTTGGAAATGAGAACATTGTAAAAGTTTCATTTGTTTGGTGTTGCAGATGGGCAATTCCCATTTGTGTGATAGCTGCAATATTTGTGTTTTATTGGCGATGTTACGGGAGAATGCAACATGGTCCTAGGTGGTCATTACCTGTGTACAGCAATCGTAAAGATCAGCGAAGATCAGAGTAATTGAATGGTTTCCATTTTTATTACAAAGTCGGAGGCAGGCAGATCAAGGGCGGGTTTGAAGGTTGAATATATCCCAGCTAGACTACGTATGTATATATATGCAAAAAAAAGAGAAGTGGAAATATACTTTATACGTATACGGTACAGAGGATTGGCAGAACACCTCAACAGGTCATGAACTTTGTTGTCACAGTTGAAGATGTTGTAATTCTATTACTTACTAATATTCAATATCTCTTACTCTTTACAAATTACAATACAAATATGCAAAAAGCTTCTACTTCCCTCTAACTTGTAATTTTTGTTTTGTGCTTCTTACTCTAGTTTTCCTCTGCATTTGTTAACCTGTTTTTGAACCTTCTCCCTAAACTTCAAACTTCAAAGTGGATATTCATGAGAGAATCTCAATGAATACTTGTCATCAAATTCATGACTATTAGAAAAATGTGTATTTTCAATCGACGTTCTTATCGAAATGCTATCAGAAATATGAGATTTCGACCAAAGAACTTTTTATATACTAGTGAAATTTGATTTGGACAACACATCACCTGTCTTTTTATGCCTAACAACATTTAAATGTGGCTCCATAAGAACTTTGTATATTGAATTCTAGATCAATTTTGTTTGTGTTATATATACTAGTGAAATTTGTATTAGCACAAGAAGCCTAATAAATTTGTTAGCATAAATCTAAGCTCCAAAATGGGAAATAAGAATTCGATCTTTGACTCAATCTACTTACTTTTGTAATCTAAGGCATGTTAATCATTATTTGGCCATACAAAGCTATGAAACGAATACATACATAACCAAACCCCTAAAAATCGATAAAATTAGAATCTAATCATTGAAAGAAGAATGAAAAAAAGAAGTAATCTCTACAAATTTGGATACAATTTCATGAAAAATACCAGACTTGTAAATTCCATATACAAGTATGTTTTCAAACTCAATATTTGTATAAACCAATTCAACTTCAATTCTCTTATCTTTAGAATCCTTTTCCCTCCAAGCACATGATTTCCATTGTTCACATTTCTAGCTAAGCAAAGAGTCATGTTCATAAAAGTATTCTTGAATTTGTTCCAAAACTTCGATGATATTTTGAATTGCTTTAATCCTCTATATAATTGTTCCTTCATTATTAGGAAAAAAAAAAGTAGCAAAAATAAACTTGCTACTTCTCTAGTATTCAATTTAGCAATTAACAATGAGTATATAACTTCTGATATTGCACTAACAATTATATCTTTGCTCCGCATATATTTATATAAATAATCGTATATCCTTTTTGAAAATACACAATAAATTCTTCAAATTAAAATAAAAAGACAAAAAATATATACATACATAAAATAAAAACTTAATGTACAAGAAAAGTTGATCAACCTTTACTTTCTCTATACACTCAAAAAACTGTTATACAAAAACTGAAGAACCTAAAGCTTCGGTTAGGATTTTCGATATGGATAAATCCAATATGTAGAGTTAGATATACATTTCAAAACTCGAGATCAGTCACACGAATGATATCTGAATTCTGAATCTATCAGATCTATAGGCTTGCTAAGCCTTTAGCTTCAGATCCTTTCATAATTCTTAGCCTTTTGCAGGAATTAATGAACATATCCCAAGGTACATCACCAGCAAGCATCCAATCACCATCTTTGTCTTCATAAGTTGGTACATAATTACATCCATTGTATCCTTCTGTTTCTGAATTTTATAATTAAAAAAAAATCGTAAGACTCTAACTAAATGAAGATCTAAAACAAATTTAATAATATATATGTTAAAACTTACCAATAGAGCACTTGAACATGTTCTCTAAAGCCTTGAGTAATTGTGGATAACTTTTGTAAATATTAAGATCAATTTTCCTTAAATAAGCGGCTCCATCCATGCTCACTTTAACGTAGCTCGCTTCTAAAATGTTCTTTCGATATGATCTAACAGGTGGCCATCCAATAACTTGTGCTCTGAAATAAGTCATAACAAAAAAACTATTGTTAATATAGCAACAAAAAAAGATATAGATTAATTTAATTAAGAATAAGCATGTCGGAACTACTTACTTTGGTGGTGGTTCATCATTAATGTGTGATGAAGGTCTTTTGTTGCTAATTTTACTAGTAGAAGTAGAAGATGATGGCTCTGTTCCAGGTAGACCTAATCTTAGCTCTGTTCCAGCCATTTCCATTTCTTCAAATTTGATGATATGATCTACGGCGACGGTGAGTTTCCCGATGAAAGCTGAAATATTTCCGGCGAAGAAAATGCTAGTTTCCTTGTGAATGATGAAGGAAAAAGAGGGAATGATCTCTTATTTTTATAGAGGAGACATCATTTATTCTCTTTGTGCATGAATTTCATAGCAAGACACTACTTCACGCCCCTTCAACCCACGCGCTTCTAACAAATCAATTATAGTGTGAATAATTTTACTCTAGAGATATTTGAATTTAAAAAATATAATGGATTATCTAGACATATGATAAAAAGTAGAGCTGACTTTTACATGTTCATAAAAATTATATTTGTATATTATAGCTATAGTTTGTATAATTGCGCTCCATAGCAAATTTTATGTTTGTTATGACTATTAATCTGTATAATTTGGTATACATATACATAAAAAATCTGTATTTGGATCTATTTATATTTTTCGGTATACAAATGGGTCCTACATTTGTATATTTTGGTCTATTTGTATATTTCGGTGTACAAATGGCCAATGGGTCCTGCATTTGTATATTTTGGTATACAAATGGGTCCTGCATTTGTATATTTTGGTATACAAATGGATCATGCATTTGTATATATCAATTTATTTGTATATTTCGGTATACAAATGGAATGACAAAAAACATGAAATATTTGCTGCGAATTACAAATAAAAGAAACTATGACTATATTATTTAATTTGAATTAATAATTTGCTATTTTATACCATTTCCCTAGAAAGTATGTATCTTCTCAAGTGATACTACCTAGATAAGTCAATTATGAGTAATATATATTATCTTCTTAATAATTATGTATGCATTAGTTTCAATAAATGTAAAATTTCAAGTATATTTTTAACTGATGTTGAGATGTATAATAAAAAAGGTTGACATATTTTATTATTTAACGTATCTACTTAATATGTACCTGTGAATATATATGCGCACCATTGTTTCTAAAATATGAGTCAAAAACATTGAATACAAACATATTCTAATATAGGTTCAACTCAATTAAAAACATATCATAATTTAAGTATCTAAATAAAATTTACTAATAGTATATATTAAGGAGCTATCGAGTATTCAAACTTTCATATATACTCTCCCACATTTTTTTTTTACAAGAATCTACTTCAAATGACCTTCCTTACATCATTGAAATAAGTGGTAGATAGTTAAAGTGTTTACAAAATTTAAAGCAAAATTATAAGATAACTGTGAAATTTAAGAGACGTGTATTGTACACGCGCGTTTGAAGCGTAGATGAATCTATTGAACACGGGTTGTTCTACCTTTGTCGTTGGTGTGAGGGACATCATTAAGTCCACTGAAGTGAGAGAAGGGAACACGGAACAGACACCGACAACTTGAGTTATTTAAGGTACCTGGTCCACTAAAATGGACGTTCCTGATTTGATGATTCTGGAGCGTTGGATCATGTGGAAATCTACTTTGGGGGCTGCTCGGTCAAACCCCCATGTGAGGTGCCTCTCCATATTGTCGGCTAATGTGGACCCCACCTTCAACTAGTTTGTTTTCATCTTGACTAATTTAAATTCGTATCTAAAACTTTACCGGAATAACTAATCTCACAATATATGTTTGTTTGATATCACATTTTAAAGCAGTTTTACTAATATTTGTAACTCTCACTTTGACATAACTATCGCTAAATATTTAAGTTCGACATAAATATCAATAAACATTTTAAATATTCTAAATAGTATAATGGCATTTACATAGTAAATATTATAATGTGATGGATGTTTGAAATCACATTTCTAAATCTTTTCAAAATTATAAATTGAAATGTTCAATAAAAAAATCATGTGTTCAACCACTCTATAAAAATAAATAAATTGCACGATGGATGGGGACATATGTAATTGCAACACAAAAAATAGACAATTGTGCGTGTTATTAGTTTTAGAAAGAGTTTTAAGTTAAATAGTGGAGATCAATGAATAACATTTAACATTATGAGTTTGAGTTAATTTTTTGTTATATACTTTGAATGAATTCGTTTTAGTCAACAAAAGATATCAAGTGAACAAAACAATTAATACCCCACCATACTCTGTTGGATGAAACACTTTAATTTTTTTCCTAATCAACTTTATTCCTTTCCTTCCATTTGCTTAATTAATCTTCCCTCGTCACCTACTTTAATTTTAATTATATACTTTAAATAAAGGGGAAATAAAGTAGTGATTAGTAGATAAACTGTACTAAGGTTTCTATGAACATGAACTCAAGTTTTATCATATTTTCTTGCCCACGGTTTTCTAGATAGTATAATAATTAGCCAAAACCATGGGATTAGTTCATCATATTATATGGTAATTAAAAGTAATATTATATTGTAGTGAACGGACTAAAATGCTCATTAAACTACTAGCAGCCGTTGTTTGCAATTTAGCAAATATTCCTGCTAATATAACTATATATAATATAATAATAATAATAATAATAATATAGTGTAACCCTTAAGCTCTCGTTATTATTTCTTTTCTATAAAAAGACCCTCATTCTAGTCAAATTGCTTAACTTTTAAAAAGGGGAAACCAAACTTTCTTTTTAATAAGTTTGTCTTAGAACAAATAGATAACGAAAGTAACAGGTGAAGAATAATAACGAAAAACAAGGAGGAGTCATATATATTTTAAAATTATTTTTATATTTCACACACACACAATATATTATATTTATATATATAAAAAATATTGCGTCAATTTCATCCACATATTATCGACAATTTTTTGTGTGTGTCATTTACATGGCATGAATTGCTAGTCCCTACTCCATATATATATATATATATATATATATACGTACAGCTGATTTTAAGCAAAAATAAAAATAAAAATAGCTGTAGCTTTGAATACATTTTCACCTCATTTTCCCTTTGACTCTTAACAGTAGCTGTACTATGTAAGACAGATTTGACCGTACGTCATATCCTTCCTTTCTTTTTTGCGAAACGGTATTTCTCTGTATTCGTCTTACTTTTTTTTTTTTTTTTAAGTTAGTTTTAAGAAATGATTTTTTTTTTTGTTTTTGATAGCTCTTTAGTTGAATTTTTTTTACATAATATGTTAATATAAGATGTCAATTAAATTATAAAGTCGAGAAGAAAAACAATTAGACAATTCTGATAAATATCCAGCAAAGCATTATATATATATTTAGAGTTCCCTAAAGTCCACATAAATATATTGAAGGCTTTTGTGTGGGGTTGAGTTCATTAAGAGAAACACGCACGCCCACAAGTTGGACATAACCAAACAATAAAACAGAGAAGCCATTTTTTTGAAAAGTGTCAACACCATGCATGTTATGTGTTTATGTACAAATTGGCATGATAGTGAAATAATTACTTTTTCATCTTCCAAAATTTATCAACCCAATTAATTTAATTACCTCTGCATGCTCAAACTACAGACAATATAACATGAAGTCCATCATTGGGCAATGGGAGTGGCATCTAATGTCGAATTAATCAACGATTAAAATGGATTGGTTATGATAAATAATAAATTTTGAAAATAGCTTAATTTTAAAAACTTACTGAAGTGAGAAGAACGTTAAATATCATATAAAACTAGATTGAATCTCCCATTGAAACCAATGTAGGAAATTCTAACACCCTCATACGTTTAAATCTGTTAATTGAAGTGTGGATATATATGACGATCTAAGAAGGTTGAAGTAATAAATGTGAGATATGTACATGGCAGCACGTGTGACTGAGTTCTGTAGCATGTACAATGGCCCATTATCATGTTCATCTGTTCCTTCCATTGCCCATCTTATACCCCTCCATGTTCATTTCCACCATTTATACATCAACTTTTATTTGAAATATATTATAAATCATTTGAGCCTCGAGATATTCAGGTACTCCCTTAATTTTATTTTATGTGACAACATTTTCTTTCTAATAAGAATGTTATCTTACTATCATTAGAAACAATTTAACTAAAATTTTCCTACTAGGACAAAGAGGGAGAATAACTTTTCAATTAGAGAAAGCCAAATAGGAACCTTGGAGCAACAATAATTTGTGATGCAGTCCTTCCCAAAACCCTACATCAAAGCAAGATGTTGAGTACGCAACTGATTCTTTTTTTTTTTATTAGAAGCCATTCTTACTCGCTAAAACGATTTTCTTGAACTTGACCAACGTTTGTTGCATGGGCAAATCGAAAATCAATATTTGTATAACTTAAAAAATTTGAAACCATCCAAGGGCTAATTAAGTTATGACAACTTAAGATGCATGCAACATTCTAAAATGAATTATCTTATATCAAGATGAAAATGCACTCACTCATTCACTCTAACTACCTATTCATTTTGATTTCCATTTGAAGAAAAGAAAGAAAACTTTTTTTTTTTTTTGTCAAAATATGACTTCTTTTTATCATAAGTTTCTAAATGGCAAGTTTTGTTTATTATTAAAGGGGAATACAGTTCGAGCAGTTTCTTTTGCTTCTTTTCTTACCTATATTGATATCACCGGAATTTGTTTTATAATTTATTCTCTAATTATGGCTCACAATAATACACTAACAATGCCAATAGGAATTAAGAGGACATGCACTGGACTAGTTTACAAGCACAGTACAGCAGCGCTTCGAAATCCTCTTATTCTTCTTATCAGTTGGCTGCAAAATAAGTAAACCATGTCACTCTTTGAATGTATGTATCTTAAAATTAGAAAGAGAAATAATTTTGTATACATAATTTCACTTTATGGTATTACCTGTGGGCTGAATAAATCCGGAACCTTGATCCTTTTAGAGCCATCAGGAAGACGTTTGCAATGAGAATGATCTTCCACAGCCATAAAATCTGTGCATACCTGCATGGAACAAAAAAAAAAGAGAATTAAATAACAAATTACTTTCGGAAACAGCCTCTCTACCCTACAAAGGTAGGGTAGGGATATGATCTGCATACATGTTACCATACCTAGACCCCTCTTGTGAGATTACACTGGTATGTTGTTAGATAAAATTGCTAAGTTGGCATGATGATGGAGCTGCTGATATGTCCTTGTTTTTTTAATCGCAGAAGAAATCTTAGATTT